AATTACAAAAATTAAATATATTATATATCTTAAAAATATAAATGTCACAAAAGGTTGAAAATAAAGATGTTATTATTACTATCAGTTAAATATAAATAATAAAGGGAAAAATTAATATTTGTGAGCACACATTATCTGCTGAAGCTATAATTTCTGCTTTAGATTATTTTCCTGTTCGAAAAATATAAAGAGATGTCGAAAAGTATAATAATTCTTTATACTTTTTAATATTTCCATTTTTAAGATCTACAATCTAAAAAAAAGAGAACACGAAACTGACTGAAAATGCAGAATTCTATCGTATATTTGGTAATCATGTAACATCACAACATTTGTTTTATAATTTCTATGAGAGAGAGAGAGAGAGAGAGAGAGAGAAGAAAGAGAACAAATATTCGTTTGTCTTTTATCATACTAAAGAAACCAAGCGATCGTCGCGACAAAGAATGGCGAGTGAACTCCGCCTCTTCTAATCGTTACCGCGAAGCACAACCAAGGAGGCGGTGATCCGCGCTATTCCCCATCTGTACGCGAATCGCAATTGCGCTCGGGATACCGTGCCGGTATCGTGTGGCACGAGTGACGACTCGTACCACGCGACTCCACTCGACTTGACCCCACTCGACCTCACCACTCGATCCGAGTACTCGACTCGAGTCGAATCGGCGGGTCTCGTTAATTGTGCAACGCGGCCCTCGTTTGCCGATCTCGCTTCTCTCGCCCCTTTCGCTCCACGGGCGATTCACGAACGGCCCGCCGATGAATACCGACGGGGATCGCATCAGGTTGTTCCAGGGCGCTAATATAACACCGGCGCTTCTTCTTCTTCCTCCTTCCCGATCGAGTCACGATTTAACATAGGCGTGGTGCGCAGCGCTTTCCAGTAAGAAGATGGACGGTTTGACCTCTCTCGTAACTTAACGTAGACTCCGATCGGCTCGCTCCACGATCGAGAGCCACGAAGAGCGGCGATTCGCCGTCATTCGCCCGTGAAATCGTTTCTTGTGTCGCCGATCGGTGCTTAACCCTTAAGCTGCGGGCGATGCTTTTAACGCATTAACCATTCGCGTGATACATACCGGATCGGAGATACCAGATATTAACGCACAAACGAATTAACAATTTACTATAATTATTAGCACAAAATTTATAATTTGTTTCAATACAACGATAAAACGTTTTATTTGTCGCCAAGTGTCGCGAAAAAAAAAAGTGTACAAAAAAAGTGTATTAATTTCCTCGCGGAAATATATTTTGATATTACACCTTGTGGAAAAAAACGATTAATTTAAATAATAATAGTTGATTCAAATTTGCATTTGATCGCTTGAGTGGTCAGTCGCGAGCACACACAAATGGATCGGCGAGCGACATGGCGCCCAAGGGCACCGCATTGAGGACCGCGCGTTGCATTAAATGCATCATGACATTCGTGGTCCCGACTGAAGAGAATTACATCGAAATGAATCTGGCATACACGCGACGCTAATATACACTGCTATTTATTGGAAATAATCAGTATTTAATGTCGTTAGGCATAGCGCTGCTCGATGATAAACCGCGTTATACCGCGTTGTGCCTCAGATATTAAAGGTGGCTCTCTTGTGTGTGTGTGGGGGGGGGGGCGTGTGCGTGTGCGTGTCGTGTACGTGTATGCATGTGGCCAATTGATCTATATAAGGCTTCTTGAATGTTCTTGAATGCAGTACGTTATATATGTACATTTTGTTCTAGAATGGTTAAAATTGAGCGACGACGGTAAATTTTTATGGGAATCTCATTGCAATTGCATCTCATCATTGTATTTTCTTATCATTGCGTCTGCGCTTGCATGTTCATTTTGTTTAAATAATTGATTGACTTTCTATTCATTTCGAAAAATATTTGACTATTTCATTGATGTAAAAGAGATTTTTGTATTTACAGCATCTAATAATTCGTATTTTGTATTTTTATTATTTCGAATAATATGGATAAAATATAAACATGTAAAAAAATAAAATTAGAAGAATGAGAAGCAATTGATTGACGTAAATTTCTGAATATCTTTTAATGAAAAAAATACGTGAGAAATTTCGGATCGTTCAAAAACTGCGGAAAATTCTGAGAGATTTCTCGTCTGTCGTGAGAAAATATCGACCGGCTTCGTACACGAAAACACACTTTCCAAATGGCTGCATTCCAATCTAAAATCAGCGACGCTCGTCACTCGCACGCCCACTCCTTCGCCGCGCGTAGGTAGCAAACGAGCTTAACGTTAAGGATACGAGACCAAACATCGCAGGGAAAAGCGAGAGAAAAAAAGAAGAAGGAAAAGAGTAGCCGACTCTAAAAGGCGAAGGGGAGAAGAAAGAAGAGGGCGTAATAACGTCGGCGTGAAAACTCGCCGAAATCTCCGGGGGGGAAAAACAGAAGCTGCGTCTTGGATCCGCTCGTAGGAATCTCTCTTTCCCGCTTCCACTCTCTTCTTCTGCTTCTCCTCTTCCTCCTCCTCCTCCTTCTCCTCCTTCTTCTTCTTCACCTCCGCCAACCTCTTGGTCCTCCTGCGCCGCTCCCGTTTTCTCCTTGACGGGGGCAAAAGCACGAGTGGGACGGGCACGAGGAGTCGGGGTAGCGACGACAGGGACGTACGAAGAAAGGGGCTGCAGCGTGGTAGCTCACAGCTCGCTGTGCACACAACAGCGTGGTGGGGATAACAAGGGTAGGGGGAGTGAAGGGATGGACTGGCGTACGGTAGTGGCAGCATACCCAAGGAGCAACCGTGGGAGGGAGGAAACGAGGGGGCATCGATCGGTCATGCGCAGATTCGCTGGGTGCCCGTCATCGTTTCTGCCGCCTGTGTATGTCGCGCGCGAATGTATCCGTGGATCGCGCGACGCTGCCGGGAAAGATATAGCAGGGATGCGGTAACATCTCGTACAATCATAAGCATTGCAGACGTATTCACGGTATCCAACCGAGTCCGCGCACCGACGACTCCGGGTGGCTCCGTCCCTTCTTTTATCCGGAAAAGGGGGAGGGAGAGGTTCTCCCTCACACTTCTTCATGGTTTACGTACGTATCCGCCACCCGATATACACGCCGGTACGAGGACTTTTCAAGCAGATTCAAATTCTCTGCGGACAAATTATGCGGATCTCGGAAGATAGCCAAATCCGAGAACAATTCGGAAAGCGGAAAAACAATATTACTATTCTAGATATTTATTTTAGAATGAAAGTAAAGAAGAAAGGTTTTATAAATTGGGGAGTTCTTGCTTTTTCACTTTTCACTTTTCTTTTCTTTCTTTTATCAAGTATTATAAATATCTCTTAATTTGGGTACTAGATCAGATTTAGGTACAAAAATCGGACTAATTCTCTAATATTTGTGTGAATTTCGTTTTTGTAATAAAAAAAGATTTATAGAAAACTTCGCTGAAAATACACCTTTAAGAATTCTCTTAAGTATTTTCAACGTTTTATTAATTTAAGAAAATTTTAAATTTTGTTGTATGTTTATTTGAATTTGTTTAATTTTGGACAATTGATATTAAATAGCTTATTCTGTTTAATATTCGAATTTTACATTTATAATTGTTGTATTATTTAATATCGTTCAATAATGTTTTATTTTTAATAAGTTTGCCATTTTGATAGTGTTAATAATCTTTCATCTTATTTTGTAAATTCTAGCAAATTTAATATTAGCCATTATGTTGATGATTCATTTATCAATTTTGTTGGATTACTAACATTAACATATGTATATTTTTTAAACAAATTTATTAAAAATAAAATTTATTTGAAGTTTATTAAAAATAAAAATTTTCTTTTTAATAAAAACAACAAATAAAAATTATAATAATTAATCTTCATTGCTTTTCAATATGTATAAAACTTCTTATATGTTCTTATATGTTTCAGAAATGTCCTTTTCAAGCATTTTTTCAAATATTTCTGAAACATATAAAAACAATTTTAAATTTACACACACACACACACACACACACACACACACACACACACACACACACTATTTAGTAATATATTATAAAGAAATTTTTTTTATTTTCTTACTGAGAGATTAAAATTATCAAGATTCTAATATGTTAAGCTTCGTGCTTAAAGATAGATTGAAATTTTCTGAAGAGATTCAAAGATAGATTTGAGATGAAAGTACATTTCCGGTGTGTTCATTCGGGGGTTAACTGACATCTCGTTTCGTCTGTCGTCCTCGTCTATCCAAATCCGCGGTCATTGTCTCTAATTCACTCATCGACATGTCTCTCTTGTTAAATCTACGCTACTCACTCGCTGAGAGTAAGCAACCCCGACGCGGCTCAACCCGCGTAAGTTACGTCGCGATACGTCGCGTTGGGTCGCGTCGCGTCGCGTCGCGTCGCGTCGCGTCGCGTCGCGCTCAGGGTTAGGGTTAGGTTAGCCCGTCGTCATCCCTCTCCGGCTCCGGCACAGGCAGGTATATAGAACAGGGCCGCGCAGGGTCCGTCGTGTGACTGTAGGCGGAGGCACCACACCCCCGCGGGGGCAGGCGATAGTACCGCGCCGCGGGTGGTGGCGGAGGCGCATCGTCGCCGCGGCAGGGGTGGCGTACGGGGCGGACGGGTGGCGGTTTGGAGGGGTGGAGGGGCGCCGCGGCGCCTCTCTCGCCTGGAGCGCAGTGCGACGTCGCGACGCGCCACGTGCGGTGGGCTAATATACATCGGGACACACGGCACGAGATACGGAAAACGCAACGTAACGGAAACCGAACGTAACGCGACGCGACGCGACGCAACGCGACCGGAAGTTATCTCCGGCACTTCCTTGTTCTCTCATTCGCTTTTGTACATTTTCTTGCGTGACGCGCGTCCTCGAAATCGTCGTCATTGTGTTCACCGCGTCGCGAGAATTTTGCGTCGATCCGCCTGCCATCTTCGCCGAGTAACTCCACCGAGTAACTCCAAGGTGCGATCAAGTACACGTCCAGCGGTCCAGTACTTAAGAAAGAGAGAGAGAGAGAGAGGAGGG